AGTTTTTTTTCTATACATGTATATACATTTAAGGAAATCCTAAGACACCATGGTGCCTGGTAAACCTTGTACCTTCAGACAAGATTTTTTAAAAAGTTTTTTACTATATACATACCATGTAATGAAAACCTAAAAAGACTCCTTGGCAGAGACATTTTGACCCCAGGGCTATAATTTGAACAATAGTGATAGAGGTTTACTACACAGGTAAAGGTTTCATGCCAAATATCAAACATCTAGCCTTTGTCAATCCAGAGGACAATATTTTTTAAGTTTTTTTTTCTATACATGTTTATACATTTAAGGAAAACCTATGACACCCTGGTGCTAATTCACTAGGGGCAACATTTGAACAACTTTGGTAAAGGACGTACTGATGATATTATTTACCTAGTATCTAAGCTCTAAGCCTTAAACCTTCTGATAAAAAGATTTTTAAAAAAGTTTTTGCTATATACATATAAGGAAAACCTTAATATATGACCCCAGGGGTGAGGCTAATTTTGATCCTTGGGCTGTAACGTGAATAATCTTGGTAGAGGTTAACTACCAAATGTTTCATGACAAATATCTAACCTGTAGTCTTTGTCAATTCAGAGGAGAAGATTTTAAGTTTTAACTACATACATATCAGGAAAATCTATGAACCCTAGTGCAGGGCTAATTTGACCCCCAGGGTATAATGTGAAAATCTTGTGAATGTCTACCAGACAATGCCTTTTGCAAAATATCTATGCTCTAGGCCTCATATCATTTAAGTCTTTGAACAACTTTGGAAGCCCTTTACTCATGGAACAACCCTGTCAAGTTTGGTTGAAATTGGAGAAGATGTTTTCAAAAGATGTTAACTATATAATGTATAAAACACACACACATGCACGCATGCATGCACACACACAGAAAAAAGAGGGGAATCGCTATATGCCAACACAGCATCTACATGCATCAGACCAGCAGTCCAACACATTTTCAAAAATAAAATGACAATTACATTGTTGATGTGTTGAAAGCCTTGTGAAAATTTAATAAAAGCTTTATAATATCTAGAATAAAACTTTCATTTTTTCATTCCAAACTGCAAACAAACAATATGAGGTATGGTACATGTTATGGTCAACCAAAGTGGATCTTCATTGGAGCTAGGTGGAGAGGAGTGTGGGAATCCAAAGATTAGTATAAATCATGTTTGCTTACTGTGTGCAACAGAAAGTATTTTAAGCACTAAGTTGAAATTTATATGGCCATAATGCACTTTATGTGTGTTAATATGCTATATATCAAAATTAAATACTCAGTATTCTTTTTTTTATGTTAACCATAAACTTAAAGAATTAATAAATTTCTTTTATATAATCTATGAATTCAGTTTATAGTATCTTTTTTGGTTTGACTTTTATCACAGTCTGTGCTTTTTGTGATACCATACTATTGTTTCAGGCACCTTTACTCCAAGTAAGCAAATGAAGTAATTGAAGACCAGGACCTTGAGTGTAGTAACTTCCTTTCTGAGCTGGGGATCTGAACATCACTGTCTGTCCTGTCCTTTTGACAATCAATAAATATTTTACAATCCAATAGGAAAAAAAAGATTCATGTAGTATCTTTTTTATAAATCCTTTTAAGCTATCATCATCGTGTACAATAAAACTTACTGGTAAGGAGTTAATTAAGGGCTTCTCCCCCTAATACAAAAAAGGTCAAATTAAGAAGTAGTACTGTTACAATGCCTTATCAAAAATAAAGTCACATATATAGACAATAACTAAATATTTAACAATATTGATTTAATACAAATAAATCATTAATATATGCAGTTCCAGCCAATATGAGCTGAAATATTTATCTATTTCAAGAGTGACAAAATGAAATGCAGCCTGACTAAAACTCAAACCAGAGACACTTCAGAATACCATTACCTCAGCACTACCAAAAAACCCAGAACCCTTGGAATACCATACAGCAGCTCTACAGCTTAAATATTTTCAGTCTCATAGTTCTATGCATTGACATAATCCACAGCATATTGAATTTTTTCCTTTTTCATTGGCACACTTAAGTAACAAAGTGAATTGACTTATGATTTCAGTTATGTACCATCATAAACATATATTGGACCCTAAAAGTAACAGGGTGAAAATATCACAGGTGAGAAAAATGTGCTGTTTGACCGGAATCAAACCTGAATCAGAATATTATACATGTATGTGGGCTGTACTCACTCAGCTGAGTATCTTAGCTGGCAATGTTGGTCAATAATCTATTACACATGGGCATAGAAGTCAAAGAAAACATTCATTGATAATGACCCCATTATTTAAAGTAAATCATATCAGAAACATCCATTGAAAAATGATATCATTTCATTTTGACCCACAGTTATTACCACTACCTCCTAATGGGCTAATTAAACTGAGCCTGCAGAATTTTATAATTTTGCTGTCTGTCAGACATGGCAATTTCTTATGGGTTTCATCTTTATCTCCATTTGAAGGGATGTAACTCATGTTTTTACTAAATAGTTTGTTCTTATCTGTCTATCTTAGCCATTACAGACTATTCTAGCTGTATATAAAATTATAAAAATCTTTTATATTAACAAACAGAACATAATAAGATGAAAAATTTACCAGTTGGAGAAATTCTTCAAATGGATGGAGGTCCCAGGATGATGAATATGGATAGAACTATTTTTTTTGACTGGCTTTTATGTACCTTCTAGTTATTGTAGCAAGGAATTTTATAATTATTCAGTTTAAAACCTGGTTTTTCAGTTAAGATTTCATCATAAAAAGATCTTCAAGGACTCTAAATAAATTCATATTTGCGGTATCAGGGAAATTAAATTACTATTTGTGCTAAACCTGATCATAAACATCAATCTAAATATTTAGAATGTACCTGTGTTGAGTGTCATATTTCACTCTTCACTTTGGTTATCCCAGGTCTACCCTTTTTTTTTACTAATGGCTTTAATTTAACTGCCCATGCAATCATAAGCTCATATATGGCTAATAATTTTACCTTATATATATCAATAGTCTAAGGAGTTATGGAAAAAAATGTTAAGGGTGGCTCAGCCTGACTGAGTGATTTGATTGTAAATAACATATTTCAAAATATATTTCTGGACTCAACATGCTTTCAAAACTCTGTAAGAAAACTGTCAAATGATGAATATTCATCTGGATTTGTTACCCAAAATCTGTGTGATTCTAGTACTTCATTTTTTTCTAGGATTGCAATAGCTTTCTATTTTTTGTCAAATAATTTTTCACTTTCAGTTTATGTTCTGCATTTGCCCATGTAAATTGATAACTTTAGGTCCAGCACAGTGTAATAGGATATTTACTTGTATCTTTTTCATCTTTCTCAGCATTTCCACTGGCAGTCAACACTGGTAAAGGTAAATTTCCATATGGAGCTTCCATTTGATAAAGTTATGTGATATGTTACCATTTTCAACATCTAAATGTCCAGGGGGTCTAAACGTATCTGCCATGATTGTCAGTTTCGAATAATACCGATTACGAAGGCTAAATTCGAATTAATATTGAGTACAAATCCTTAGTTCATTAATATTGAGTACGAATCTTGTTCCCGAAAATGGCTTTTGGACGAATATTTCACTAAAAGTGGCAGAAATACTTCACACTGCAGGTGTGAAACAAAATAATTGCATACTCCTCCGATGCCACCAATGTTTGATAGGGTTCTATTATATGCAATTATATGACAATACGTTTTCAGAACCGTAAACTTTAATCCATTCATAACAGACGCTTACAATGTTACATAACACTAAATAAGACATATATATCTGTATATTGCTCGTTTTTCTTAAAAACAGTTTGAAATAGAAAAAGTATGCAAGTCTATATTTAAAAGTAAATAAGGTTTACTTGTTTGATTTAATATTAATTTTGGATGTTGGACAATATTTTTATACAGAGTCTGTCGTAAATTCATTCATTCTTGCACGCTGCATGCGGGATACGAAGTTTGAAGCGTAGGTTTTACACAATGCTTTTATGAATGAAATAGAAATTTTCATATTTTTTGCTTCCATGTTTAGAAAATGTTTATTTTAAACTGAAAGTGCATAGTTTTGAACTTTCAAAGCTTATTGACCACTATTGCAAACAGTATATTAATAAAAAGTGATCTTAATGTGACAATCCTGCAAAATGAGGATCTACTTTTATCGAGGTTTCATCCAAAGGTGGATGTTGTTCAGCAAAACAGGTTAGGTGTACTAAATCTGAAATACAGCTATAACTCTGTATACATTGCAAGCAATGTATACAAAAACGATATTACACTAGTGTAATAACACTTTGACGTGACGTCATTTGCGCTATATAAACATAGCGTTAAAGCGCGCTAATGTTAGCGTTATACTAACTTATAGGCGCGTCATTGAAAAATTACTCATTTTAACAGTTTACTGTTCTTATTTTATATATGTGATAAATAGAATATTATATTCGTGTAGATTTAATACTAAATTTATTGAACTCGTTGAATAAAACAATATTATGCTCGCCAGAGGCTCGCATAATATGATTTTATTCAACTCGTTCAATAAATTTAGTATTAAACTACACTCATGCAATATCCTCTATTTAAAACATCCAGCCAAATGGGGCCTACAAGTCACTTAGTGACTTAAACATTTTCAAAATAAATAACTTGTAAAATCTTAAAATATTTTAAACACAATTTACTTTTATATGTGAATTTTTATATAGAAACATTCCTCTTCTATTCAAACCTTCAATCAAGAATTTATTAACTTGCACATAATGATAATTAACAGCATATACAAATAAATATACTTCAGATATATGTTCAAAATTAGGATTTTGATATCATGTTTTCTCGTTAATCATGAAACGATCGTATTTAGTGCAGTTTGAAATAAAATATAAACAATTTGTTTTATAACGCTAAGCGTTATGGGATTAACTCGTGATTTACACGTGATTAATATAATAACTTACGTGAAGAATATAGCTCAACATCGATAAAATCCTCTTCATCTTCGCTCGTGATTTCAACAAGGTAAGCGTTTAGAGATTCGCAGTTCGCCTGTATAGTAAAGTGATAATACAATTGAGCCAAATCCGACATAATGGGATTGCGACCAGCCGCGCAGTCTGGTCAGGATCCATGCTGTTTGCTATCAGTTTCTCTACTAGCTATAGGATTTGTAATCGAACAGCATGGATCCTGATCAGACTGCGCGGATGCGCAGGCTGGTCTGGATCCATGCTGGTCGCAAACCCATTATGTTGGTTTTGTCATGGCGCGGCTCAAATTATATTTCAATATCTTAATGCTTCTAACTTTGAAATAAAAAAAGATCTACATAATTATCTTTTATCGTGTCCACACTAAATGTACTTTTATTAAAAAATAACTTTTGGTTATAATATTGCACTCGTAATCGTCACTTTTAACAACCTATTCACTTTTGACCAGAAAATTATTGCAGCAAATCGGTTTGTTTGGATATGTATCCAGTGGTCAAGGTATCTGTGTCTAAAGTTATGTATCATAGTTCAGTAAGTTTTAGATCTTTGTATGTAATTATTTACACGTTTAAAATATATAGGGCAGTCAAATGCATAGAATCTATGTACACGATATAATTTATTCACGGCATAAAACGAATGCTTAACCGTCATTTGACGCCAGATATGACGTCAATAAACCAAAGAACGTCAGGAAAATTACTTCTACGCTAAATATAGATCTAGTTCAACATATTTTGAAGCATTTCTCTTTTTTTTTAGTATATTAGAATGAAAATAGATAACAATTTTATTGCATTATAGTTAAATGATGCACGGTTTGTCGTTCATATGCTTTGTAATTAATCACACTAGCCTATCGACCTTCGTAATTTTATCCCTGCGCATTTGAAAGTGATATAAATTCTAACACGACCCGCATTTTTTCCCCATTGAACATAGAAAAACCGAAAGCGTGTGTTATTATGCAATAAAATCACAGTTTGAGTTCTATATTTAGACATGTGACGTATTCATATACACGTGACGTAACCACTAAAAAGGTGACGCGCTGGTAATAAGTACGGAATCAAATCAGGCGCAATATAGGCACAGGTGCTCGTCCAGTCTTAGTGCCCATATAAAAAATGAAGTTTTAAAAAAAAAATTGAGAAAAAAAATTTGAAAAAAAACAAACCAAAAACACATCAAAATAACTATTTTGGGTTGAGTGTAAGAAAAAAAAATTTGAATTTTTTTTTTCCTATATACCATTACTACGAAAAGGTCACCTAGTCGCCGTAACGCTATGGAGCTTTACTAGGACACGCTGTGGAACAACCACAATGCCGAGTTCTGTAACAATACAAGCTATTTTGCTACTCTTTACACATCATGCATTTAGAAAATTGTTTACATTCTTCATCTACCTTACATACAATCTTAAATAATTTATATTTACATTTTAACTCGGACACTCCAATTTGTTAAAATCTTGCAAAATTCCTTTGATGGTCGGCCATTTTGTCAAAAACGAAAGTAAAAAACATCCGCTCTCCTGGTTACCTACGACTACGTGCGAGGAACAGTAGACAACGGTAACCATCAATTTATTGGTTACTGTTGTCTATTGTTCAGCGAACGTAGTCGTAGGGGACCAGAACAGCGAAACAGTACGGTGTATGTTTTGTACTTTCGATTTCGACAAAATGGCCGACAATCACTGTTGTTTTGCAAAATTTTAACAAATTGGAGTGTCCGAGTTTAAATGTAAGTTATTTAAGATTGTATGTAAGGTACAATAAGAATGTTAACAATTTTCTAAATGCACAATGTGTAAAGAGTAGCAAAATAGCTTTTATTGTTACAGAACTCAACATTGTGGTTGTTTCACAGTGTGTCCTAGTAAAGCTCCGTAGCGTTACGGCGACTAGGTGACCTTTTCGTAGTAATGGTTTATATAAAAAAATTGCTTTTCAAATGTTTTTTTCTTACACTCAACCCAAAATAGTAATTTTAATGTTTTTTTTTTTTTTTTTCAAAATTTTTTTTTTTTTTTAAAATTTTTTTTTTTTATTTTTTTAAACTTCATTTTTTATATGGGCGCAAGACTGGACGAGCACCTGTGAATATAGGTTAATATCAGGTACGGCAGCATTTATTTGTTGATGTCGTGTTAGAATCGAAATAATATATCCAAAACAGTGATTTTATCGCTTGATAACATCACTGTTTGTCTTTCGGATGAGCATCATAATATAATTCCTCTCATCCGAACTCCAATCAGTGATGTTATTGAACGATAAAATCACTGTTTTGGATATATTATTTCTTAAATATATACAGAGAAACAATGGAATAATTGGTAAGTAAAAGAAAATTAAGTGACTTTACTTTAGCAGTGTCCCAGTCTACATGGGTACTGAAATACTTATAACAGTGACTACCAAACCCTAACCACCCCTCTAGACATGTGGGTGGTTGTGGTGTTGTTGATGTTGTTGTTGTTGTTGTTGTTGTTGTTGTTGGTTCTGAAAGGTTGACCGTTTCTATTACACATTTATTCACAATCATTTTTTTTCCAATTATTTATTAATTTATTGTTTTAAATCACGCAAAAAATGTTACTTGTACATTTAAAGCTACAGGCGTCAAGATGAGTCAAAATATTATTGAGAAAAAAATGTAAGATTTAAAGAAAAGTGAAACGATTCATAAATTAATTATCTACGTGTTTATGCGATTATTGACTGACTTTGCAGTATTTATCACCATATTTTTACTGCTTGACTAACGCAGTAAGGATTATTTTTGCACAATTTTACCTCTTTTTGGTATTTGACGTGGATTGCGCAAGTGCCAGTTGCAATGTGTATTTTTTTTCTCTGTCCACTGCACAATATTTTACTTTTAGATACATTTTTTTTCAATTTTCATAAAATGAAGCATGAACCTTAATTAAGGCGTGCTGCTTTAATTAAAATAAAGATATATTCACATTAATGACGTCAGTTTATTTATTAATGACATATACATTTTAATATTTACTTCGATGGTTTCTTAATAGTATATGAGTTTATAATTTACAGTTTAAATTCATTTGAGCCGTGTCACGACAAAACCAACATAGTGGGTTTGCGACCAGCATGGATCCAGACCAGCCTGCGCATCCTACCCACTATGTTGGTTTTGTCGTGACGCGGCTCCTTTCGAGTATCAAACCATTCAAACGTAAGATGTATTTATTTTTAGAATGTATTTAAGGCGTTTACCAATTTCTGTCTCACAGTTGCTTCCTGTATACCCAGAGTTCGAGCAATCACAGAAAACTTCTTTCCAAGATTTTCTACATTGCGTCACACTTCTACATCCGCCTAAATAATATCGTAAACTAAATCTTTAAACATTACCTTATTAACTTTATTTTAACTGATTTTTTTTAAACACTTTTGCTTATCAATTTGTGTAAAAGTGTATAAATTTATCACTTTTCCAATGGAAACAAAAATCAAAACTGTATTCATTAATTATTTATATATCCACGATCAAGCTACCGGCATATTGTCTCGTGACTTTAGAGAAAATTGACAGTACACATATTTTAACTTACAGGGCTGACATTTCTTCGTGCTATTTCCACTTCCTTCTCCATTACCAGCCGGTAGACAGGCGGTCCCATTTGGACACTAGAAATGATCGAACACCGGTATCATAAACGGTTTTCATTACATATAAAAAGAAGACAAACACCAATACCTATCCCTCATAAGTACATGTATATGAGCCGCGTCACGACAAAACCAATATAATGGGTTTGCGACCAGCATGAAACCAGACCATCCGCGCAGTCTGGTCAGGATCCATGCTGTTCGCTATCAGTTTCTCTACTTGTAATAGAGATGGTATGCGAACAGCATGGATCCTGATCAGACTGCGCGGAAGCGCAGGTTGGTCTTGATCCATGCTGTTCGCAAACCCACTACGTTGGTTTTGTCGTGACGCGGCTCATATTATGTTCCACACTTCAGCTTGTATACAAATTTGATATAGATATGTAAAAATGAAATCAAACAGTGTCTACTCTAGGATTCGAAAAACAGGGGGGGGGGTTATCGAAAAGTGAGAATTCATTACATTTGTTGATCGTTTTCCTTCTTTCTCTATGTAAAATTCTCCCTCTGCCGGGGGAAATTCTCAAAAATATGAGTGAATTCCCCTCTTTGAATAGATACTGGTCAAATGGTGATGACAAAATTTAACAAGTAAAAGAGAATCGTCTGGAGCAAACTAAGTGTGAAATATAAAGAGCAAACTAGATGCGAACTATAAAAAGCATACTAAGATCATAAAGAAGCCTTTATGTCAACACATCCAAATTAGAAAACGTTTAGGGCCACGTTTAAAAGAGCATGTTGGGTAATATACATGTACGTAAGCTGAGATATGCTCTTTTTTCCTCACCCCTAACCGACTTAAGTGAACAAGCGTTTCTAGTTAATTAAATGAATTAAAAAAAATTCTACCTGACAGGAGTCAAGGCATATTTTCCCTTTCGGTTCTTTTCCCGAAGAGTGCGATTTCGGTTCTTTTCCGGAAGAGTGAGAGTTCGGTTCTTTTCCGGAAGTGTGAGAGTTCGGTTCGTTTCCCGAAGAGTGCGATTTCGGTTCTTTTCCGGAAGAGTGAGAGTTCGGTTCGTTTCCCGAAGAGTTCGATTTCGGTTCTTTTCCCGAAGAGTGCGAGTTCGGTTCTTTTCCCGAAGAGTTCGATTTCGGTTCTTTTCCCGAAGAGTTCGATTTCGGTTCTTTTCCCGAAGAGTGCGATTTCGGTTCTTTTCCCGAAGACTGTGATTTCGGCTCACCACTCAAGGACCGTGATTTGAGTCTACCTCTCATTGAATGTAATTCAACAGATGTAAGATAAAGTGTTAAAATCACAAAGACCTGAAACAAAACTTAAACATTTGAATATCCATATCAGGCTTGGCTAGCGATAATTTGTTTAAGTCATTTAATTTGAGCCGCGTCATGACAAAACCAACGTAATGCGTTTGCGACCAGCATGGATCCAGACCAGCCTGCGCATCCGCACAGTCTGATCAGGATCCATGCTGTTCGCTTTCAAACCCTATTACAAGTAGAGAAACTGATAACTGATAACTGCTTTTCATTATTCAATATTCATTATTAATATATATCTTTTCCCGTTTGGTTGAAAACTGTTTGAGTTACCTTAGTCAAACCGATTGCAAAACAGTCAAACCTGTGTAGAAAGGCCATCTAAAGGAAGATCAAACATGGTCGTTATAGGCAAATGGTCTTTATTTGGGGGTTACTTTTTTTAATTATTCCATGAACGGTTGTTGAAAATGATATTGGTTCACATGGTGATCTTTATAACGCACTAAAAATATTGGCAATTTTTTTCTTCTTTTTTTAAGTTAGAATGAAAACAGTTTATCA